TGAACCCTGCACGAGCTGGGACTGAGCAGTCCCAGCTCAGTCCTGATTCATGCCTGTGCTCCTTTGTCAGGGAGCAAGGGGGAAAATACCCAATTTATTGCATTCCTCTCTGGCTGGGGAGAGCAGGTGGAGCTGGACCTTCCCCAGCTGGGGAACATGCTGTGCCTGCTGGAGTTACAGCAGCTATGGACAGGCACTTCTCACCTGGCCCAACCCGCTGCAGTAAGAGGGCTGAGGTGGTCCCTCTCCTTCCCCTCCCACCCCCTGAAAACCTGCATACTAAACCCCTCTGCAGTTTAAATGTAGTAGGAACCAGGCTGCTTGCACGCCTGGCTCTTACTATGTTTTAGCTGCAGCAGAGGTAGCTCCTGGACCTGGCACAAGCCACGACTGAGGATGCCTTTTCTTTTCGACTAATGGTGTAGTGGATAAAATTTTAAATTGACCACACAATTACTGGATTACCCACCTCTTCACATCCTTAGCCTAGAAGCCACAGTAGGAATCAAGGTCCCATCATGCTAGGTGTTATACCAATGTACAAGGAAACTACTGTACCAGGTAAATTGGAAAGTGAAAACATTGGGTGGAACTGGGTTTTGACACCCAATTCATGAAGTGGTATATTTACATAAAAGTTCTGGGTGATTAGGATCTTGATGGGGGAGAGGACAGGAGGGGTTAGCAAATCTAAGTATGCACCAGAATGCTCTTGAATCTTTATCTAATGATGACTTCTCTTGTTTTTTAAAGTGAACAGTGATTTTTTTTTTTTTCTTCTTCTTCCAAGTTGACTCTGGGCAGTCTAGGCTAGTGAGTGGGCTGCATGAGTGGCCCTCCTCTCTGTGGGCTGCGAGATTATCATGACAAAGACCTTCTCCTGGGATATAGTACTTTTGCTAACTGCGCTTGCATACCTAAAATTTGTGGGGTGTACCAATTGACCTGTAGCAGTGCTTTGGGTGCAGAGGGAGAACTGCACAGTTGAAAACCAGTGGAATGTGACAACCCTGTGTATAGGCAATGGTAAACAATGTTTTGTGAGCCACAAGTAAAGCCCCAATAGACTGCAGGTTGCCCACCACTGCTCTAACAGCTTAGAGTAAAGCTGCAGACATCTAAATTATGTAGCTGATCTGATGTAGGATTGCTTCTTTGTTGCATTTAGTGATGGAATCACAAGGTAAGGGGAGGAAGCTAGTTATTCCCTCTTGATATGTTTTGTTCTGGGTAGAATTTAGAATCGCTTTTACTGTCTCTTGCTAACAACTGAGATAATTAGCGAAGTTTTAGTAGCAATGGCAGTGAAGTTTTTAAATGTATGTAGTCTGTTACCAGGAGGATTTTTTTCATTGATAGAGGAAAAACCATGCTGAGAATCTAGATTACATTGAGATGTTTTACAAATCAGACTTGCAACCCATGTTAAATTATTTTCTGGGTAGTGCTATAAATATTTATATATTACCATTAAAATAGCTTCTGGACTGGTGAAAGCTGAAACCTCTAAAATTAGAGTGTTGGGAATGGATATGAAAACTAGAAACCAGTAATTAGCCATTGTTCAACAGTAGATGAAATAGCATGTGGGGGCTCTTTGAGGTGTTTAGGGGAGGAGACTGGAGAGCGAAAGCATCTAATAAACCTGATATGGGAGATATAAACGGCTAAAAAGTTTTCTCCTCTAACATTCTCTACTGTGGCAATGTATGGAGGCTTGCACTAAACAGCATGTTACTGCAAGGGGTAGTGACTTCAATTTGTTCCCTTCTTATAGCCAAGCAAGCATAAAGTGGTTTCTTAGAAAACATCTTGCTGTTTGGTTCCCCATCCCCTTCTTGTGACACGTGCATGGTAATCCTTCCAGGCTGCACACTTGCTCAAATGAAGAAGTGGCCTTGTTCTTTAAATACCATGCACAATTTGTATCTCTCATGGATTTAATTGGTGCCTTGCCACATCATGAGTAAAAATGGACTGATTGAGGAAAATCTTGATCCACATCACAGCAGTTGTTTGATTTCTAGCTCTGTTCAAAGAAACCTTCTTAGAAACATTTTGAAACTGGCTGTTTTGGGAGGTGGTTATCTCTGGAACTCTTGGCTCAAATATTCCCAAATGTGGGTCATTAACCCTTCCCTGCACTCCCGCAAGGCATAGAAAATTTCAAGAAAATCCAGTTCAGCCTTTAAAAGCATTTGAAACATTACATTTTAAACTGATGGGTGGAAGTGCCCTGGTCCTCCATCCTATCTATCTGTACCACAGTAGGTCCTGAAAGGTATGAAGTGCATTGATTTCTGTGTGGTGCTCTCATTTAATGAGAACTCCCCATGCAGATGAATTCAACCTGAACCAATAGCTCTGAGAGTGATTCACCTCGTCCTACTGGAATGCCTTAAAGCCTGTGGTATCCATTGATATGGTCCTACCAATTTCATTGACAAACTTTTTTTTTTTTTTTACGTACAGTAAAACTCCAGTGGTCCGGCACTCCTGATAGTCTGGCACCCAACTAGAACCCAGAAGTGCTCCGGCCAGCCAGACAATTGGGGCTGCTGTGAGCCCCATGAACGCTTGCAGATGGGAAGGGAAGGGGAGAAGAGGGGAAGGGGATTATACCCCTGTGACGGGTCTGCCGGGACCTGCACTGTGTCCAGGTGGGGGGGTAGGTGGGGAACGGTGTGGCGAGGGGCGAACCCTCCGCCGTTTCGCAGGAAGGCGGGGTAAGCCCCGTGTAGCCACTGGTGACAGGCCAGCTGGGGAAACCCAGCCGCTGGCCTGCAAGCGGCAGCGGAGGAGAGGGGGCGAGAGCTAAGTCCCTGAACTTGCCCAGTTCCGGCTGCACTGAGGCCCGCGCCGCTGCCGAGAGGTTTCCGGGGGGGAGCGGGCTCCCCATCCCCCCCTAGACTGCAGTAGTTATCGCCGAGCAGGGGGGTGAGGGGCAGTGCTGCAGACCAACCTGGCAGCACCCCAGCTGCTCTGCTCCGCCGCTTCCCCAAGTCCGCCATTCATCAGTTTCAGCAGCGGCCGTGGTATCTTCTAATTCAGAGCTGTAGTATTAATCATCAAACTCCATATACCCAAGTCCTTCAGGAACTAGTGGGAAAAACACTATGATTAAGTGGCTTACAATGTGCAATTGCCACCAAAGTATACAAGGCTTAAAAGTATCTTAGTTATCTGACGTTTTATCTTCTACTATATAGTTGAGAGTTTGTGAGTGAGTCTGTCTGTCATCCTCCCTCCTAAATTGTAAGAGCTAGGACTGCTGAATTCGGTGTACAGCTTTCTATTTTATCACAACTTAAAGTGAGGCAAGGGTTTGGTTGTGCATGGGATGGGGGCGGAAGCTCTTCCCTCCTTCCCAATGCACATGGGGATACACACAACCATATAGAAAAGAGAATGACCAGGCAGGTGAAAGGGGACAGTTGGGACAGCCTGCCTCCCTCCGGGGGTGCCCCACACTCCTGTTCCCCAGGCACCTTTTGAGGAAGGTGCAGTCGTGTTCCTCCCCCCGCCAGTCATACGTGAACATTGCTGGCTGTTCTCCTTTGTCGGGGAGCGAGGGGAAAATGCCCAGTTTGCTGCATTCCTCACTCTGGCTGGGGAGAGCAGGTGGACCCGGACCTGCTCCAGCTGGGGAACATGCTGTACCTGCTGGAGCTACAGCAGCTATGTACAGGCACTTCTCACCTGCCCCAAAGCTGCTTCAGTAAGAGAGGGCTGAGGTAGCCCTCTTTCTCCCATGGAGGGGAGAGCAATGTTGCCCAAGAGAAATTCTAATGCCACCCAGCTGATTAGCAAAGTGCCCATGGTTAAGGGTGTGGGTGTATGTGTTTTTCCTTGTGGTGCACATTCACACGTGCCTGGATGGTCATGACATAAAATGTATTCCACATATGAATGGAAAAAATTAGAGGGAACATTGCAGGAGAGGTCTCTGGGACAAGATCTTAGTCTTGATTTCTTGGGCTTTACTCCTGATGATGGGAACTCCCTACAGCCCCAAATTGACACACCCTTCAGCAATTCTGGGGAATTAGAAATAGTTAAAAATGGGAGGAAAAACAAATAAAAATTAGTATCAGTTGTCAAAATTAGGAGGGGAAAAAAGTGCCATGCTGAGAGAGGAGTGTACATAGTCTTACAGGGAAGAGAAGGAATTTTTTGTTTCTAGTAGATAAGCATACAAATAAAATACTTCATTGCATTAGCATTTTGGGGGATAACTCCAGTTCAGACTAAGATAATGTGTTTACACATGTATTTATATTAACTTCATGAAGTTCTTAACCTTCTCTCCTTTGTTTTCCAGCTTCCTGCAAATGTTCATTAATAGCACAACGAGCAGAACTGTGGCTAACTATGAAAAACTACCAGCAAGCTCTCCATGATGCAGATGCGCTTTGTCAAAAGAAACCCCTCTGGGCCAAGGTATGATACACTCCTGCTTTACAGAAAGAGCTATATATTGGGATCTCTTATTGTAGCAAGGACCAAACTTGTCCGGATTGCTTTTGGAAGGTTTTTGGCAAGCAGCTGGGTTAGAAATATGAAGGAAGGCTTAAATTCTATACGAAACCATAAGCTCTGTGGTGCAACCCTAAGTTTGTACTAATGCCTGGAATTGCTATGGCTTGTGTTTCCATTGGCCCTTCATGCTAAGGTCGACTAATCTGTTAAAATGGAGATGTTGGTGGGTCTGGGAACCGACCCAGGCCTGGCAAAAAGGGAAACCCCACCCTCCCCCTGGGTAGCATTTTTCTGAGGAAATGCCACTCTAAAATTTGGTTCATCAGAGCATGTCTCTAATTCTCAGATGTAACCTATGGCTTCACTTTTTTTTGCGGTGGAGAAGGCAGTTAGACACTGGAATAGTATTGGTAATATGGTAAACTTGAAGCAGCCCATGGAATGCAATGGGGGAAAAATGAACTCTTCTTTGCAAGTGATAGGTAGAACAAGTGCAGCATCAGAAGCTACCCACTCTTGCCTCAGATATATCTGCAGGTCCCCGAAATCTCCTTATATGGCTATAACCCCCCCCCTCCCCCATTCCCCTGACTAATGCCAGACTTTCTCAGTTCTGAAGTAAAAAGTTTACCTATAGGTTTTCTCAGATGAGATCTCTTGACACTATCCAGAGGGTCTGAGGAGCAGGGCAAGAAGTTCAGAAACAGCTGTGTTCCATTCCTGGTCTTGGCAACCCATGGAAAGGCCGCAAGAAGAGGAATGAAGTATGCACCTTGCTTGTAGATCAGAGCATTGCATCCTACTCACCAACCTATTTCTGAACTCTTTTCTATTTAAAACTGTGCAGTGTGACTTGAGCAAATAGTGCTGTTCATTAGTCTCCTTTTACAATCTACCACTTTGGAAATGTCAGTTTCACACACCTTTTACTCATGCAGAGTCATTATGTGAAAGCGTATGCTCTCTCTGGATTGGGAAGGACTGAAGAAGCACTGAAGGAATTTCTTTATTGTGTTGCCTTAAATCCTGAATGGAGCTTAATGAAAAAAGAAGCCCAAAAGGTACAGTAACTACATCCTGTTCTCCCCCACCCCTCTCTTTTTTTTTTTTTTTTTTTTTTTGGTATGCTGTGCCCTATAGTTATGGAAAATCTTTGTATTCAGATACTTTTCATGTTAATAACATTTTGGTGCTGTATTGGATAAAACCATTGTGCACCTAATTGCCCAGTATTGTACCATGGGAGAGACTTTTATATTTGTTTGATCACCTCCTTTGTCTGCTTGTAGGTGAGTTTTACTAAATGGTGTGCCATTCCACTGTTCTGTGGCAGCAAATTGCATGCACTCGTAGATTGAAATGAGGTCTAACCTCAACTTAATGGTGTCTGTCTAGTGCAATAATTACTTCTAGAATTTCAGGGAACAGTCTAGGTATCCATGGACACAGGCCTTTTTTGTGTGTGTGTAAGGGGGGGGGTGGAGACAGGGTGCAAATCAGAACACCAGTAAAGCATTATTCTGAAGAAAATCAGGGTCCTCAAACTCACCCATGCTACATGCAGAGAAATTGGAGGGATCAGCTCTGTTTCCTGCAGGGGAGGAGAATCTGTAGCCTGAACTTTTGAGTCTTACACAGAATATTGTTGGCGGTAGTAGGAACCAAGAGGATGGGAGTTGAGGAAGAAGGAGGGGCGTAGACCCTAGCAGGGGAGAACAAGGACCGTGATATGGAGAGACCTGCGAACGACAGGAGGGATACAACCTCTGCCATGAAGGAGAGGTGGGGCGTTTCAGGGAGTCTCTAAGAGAGGGGCACTGTGTAGGTGGCACAGTGGAAAGAATGAATGAATGTGTTCAGTGAGTTCCTCTTAGAGCAGCTGCAGAGTGTGTGCCCCTTCACTGCACCATACAAGCGCTTCAGGTGTCCTCTGCATTTCTCACTCATGGGAATGCACCAACTGTAGTTCCTGAATGGCAGAGCTCAAGCTAGCAGGAGCCATTGAAGCACTCCTTTCCTTTTCCCAGGACACTTTAGCCATCTCAGTTCTTTCCAACTGTGACCTGCTGAATGGATCAGTGCACCTTCTTAACTAGTTAATTTTGTGGGTAAAATTATTTAGCGTTGATATGTTGTAAATCTTTTGGTTTCAAGACTTGCTTGCCAAACAGAAAAATAAAAAGCACAGTTTTAAAATGTCATCTCCAGCAATGTTTCTGGTGCCCAGTGCACTTGGCATGCTTAGGTAAGGGACTCTTTTTTTTTAACATGAGCCAAAAAGGTCACTGGTCACTAAAGGAAAAAGAATCCCCCATACCTGTATTTTAAGACTGAAAGCAATCAGGTTGGCTGATAACATATGTTTGACCTGAGGCAAAAATTACTTTGTCGGATCATGACAGACAATTGATGGTGTTGATATTATCTGAAGAAATAAGGCAGGGCTCATTTTCCTTCAGTTGTGCATAGAGGTTAGATGTCTGGGGGAAAGAAGGGGGACACAACATATCTTTGCAGATCATCTGAGCAAGTCGACCACTCAAATGCACGAGTTTCTAGATCTCATGAACATTTAGTTAGGCTAGTCTAAAATCCTTATTCAGTTAGGATTCCATGGCCCCACCATCATTTGAGTACTACTGTCTCGTGTGTGGGAATATGTCAATGACACTTGAAGAAAGGAAGGTTACCTGTGACAAGCATATTCTCACCCACCACCACCACACATACACTGCTTTGTAACCCCACTTAGGTCTTGGTGCATGGGGAAGGAACTTTGAGGCAGGTGGAGTGCTGTACCTCTTTTATACCCTCTGGAACATTGTGTTACCTGAAGGGAGGTTTGGGGAAGGTATGAGAGTGTTCCCAGAGCTACTGCTAGCTAGAATTCTAACCATGCAGGCTACACCTGTGAATATGCAGAGCATATCTTGGAAAAACCCTGGTTACATGCAACTGACTTGATTTACGACTACACAAGTTTGTTTCTGTAACTCCATCTCTAAATTCTTTTTCTCCTTTTATTAGATAATGTGTGAGATGTTTTTCCCAGCCTTTGAAAATGTGCACGACAGCCTAACTGCACCTTTCTCTAGTCGGAATTCTTACACAAGATTGAAACCTGCATTTTTAAGCAGCTTAAATACTGAAGATGGTTCTGCTGCTGGATGTTCAGAGGTAAAGAATAATATATTAACAGCAGAAGTATTGTGAAGCCTCTTGTAATATCTGATCTACCTGATTTGATTTGCTTTTTATGTTTTTATACAAGCTTAGTTGTTACTACTTGT